AACTAGAATTCATCTGCCTCACAGGCATTGGGAGGGGTGGGAGGGAGGTATATTGGGGTTCTTGGTGGTGAAAAATAAGTACTGGTGAAGGAAAATGTGTTTGATCATTGCATGACCAAGACTTAAACCTGAAAGCCTTGTAACTTTTACCACAGTGATTCAATAAACAAATAAATTAAAATTTAAAAATTTAAAAAAAAAGATCAGGATGGAGGGTGTGTCTCAGGTTGTGGAGCACATACGTCCCATGTGCAAGGCCCTGGCTTTCGTCCCCATCACAGCATGGCCCCCCTGAAGAGTGTGGTCCGACAAAAATAGCAACAATAAAAAGTCACATGTGGCCACAAAAATCTATAAAACTTCTTGGGATTTTTTCTATTCTCTCATCTTAGTACTAATGAGACCTGACCCTATTTAACTTTCTTTTCTTTCTTTCTTTTTTTTTTTTTTTGCTTTTTGGGTCACACCTGGCGATGACAGGGGTTACTCCTGGTTCATACACTCAGGAATCACTCCTGGCAGTGCTCGGGGAACCATATGGGACGCTGGGAATCGAACCTGGATTGGCCGTGTGCAAGGCAAAGGCCCTACTCGCTGTGTTATTGCTCCAGCCCCAACCCTATTTAGCTTTCAAGATCATGCAAGATTGGGTGCATTTTGGGTGGTACGGCCATAGACAATTTTTGCTATTTTCATCACCCTCAATCATCAGTCCAGGTTGAAAGACCTAATGGGATTCTCAAACTTAAAATTTGTATATATGTCTAAGCAGCTCAATTTCCTGGGTACAAGTTTTCATATGCTCATGGTGCCTGTTTTGGGCAATTCACTCCACTTGATATAGTCACTGGGAGACCCATGTCTACTGGTATCCAGCATTCTGCAGATCTTCAATTGGTTCATAGTAGAACAACCAACTACCTGTGTCTAAAATATTTTTGTGTTCAAGCATAGTTTGTATCACTTGTATCACTTGTCATCCTGTTATTCATTGATTTGCTTGAGCAGGTGCCAGTAATGTCTCCATTCATCCTTGTCGAGTGTTAGTGTAGCCCAATGGCATCTGCTCGCTCCAGGAACAGAAAAAGCCTCAAACTGTTCGTTCAGTAGTTGTTTTTGTATATGTAATTTTATTTATTGAATCACCATGAGAGCAGTTACAAAGCTTTCAGGTTTAAGTCTCAGTCATACAATGAAACACCTGTACCTTCAACCGTATCCATTCTCCACCACTAAAAACCCCAGTAAACACCAAACCCACACGCTCCCCCTACCTGTGGGGCAGATGATTTCCAAATTACTCTCTCTCTACTTTGATTACATTCAGTATTTTGACACCAGACCCACCATTATTATTTGGGATTTTACCCCAACAATCAGATTTGCTGAAAAGGCAACAGTAGACAATTTGTTTTCTATTGCTGTTTATGAATAACATATGATGTTGTGCGGCTGCAGTAATGGCCACGTGATTTTGAAATTTTGAAATTTTAACAATTAAATATGGAGGGATTTCTTGCCAAAACCTGCTGGGTTCTAAGATTTGTTCCTGAGTCTCTGGGATCATGATCGTTAAGCAGCTTGATCAGGAGCCAGAGAGGCTATTCGTGGGCGGAGACTTGGGGTCTTGTTAAGAAGGGGAGGAAAGGGCCAGCTCCACACCCATCCCATGAGGCCCCACGTGTCTCGTCCAAACCTAACTGTCCAATGGCCTCTGGAGGGTGGCAGCCACCGAACTGCCAAGGGAGAGCAGGTGGAGGGACAGCACCCTTTCCCCCATGGGGTGGCCCGATGACAGTAATCTACTGCGGGGTCCAGAAGTACTTCTGCCTAAAACTGCTGGGTTCCAAGATTTGTTTCTGAGTCTCTGGGATCATGGCCATTAAGCAGCTTGATCAGGAGCCAGAGAGGTCATTCGTGGATGGCAACTCGGGGTCTCATTGGGGCAGGGAGGAAAAGGCCAGCTTCGCCCCCATCCTGTGAGGCTCCATGTGTCTTCTCATGGAGGGTCCAAACCTGACTATCCAGTGGCCTCTGGAGGATGACGGTCACTGGGCCGCCAGGGGTAGCATGCCAAGGCATGAAACCAATTCCCACCTGGGATGGCCCAGCGCCAGTAACCTACTGCAGGGACCAGACGCATTTCTGCCAAAAGCTGTTGAGTTTCAAGATTTGTTTCTGAGTCTCTGGGATCATGGCCATTAAGTGGCTTGATCAGGAGCCAGAGAGGCCGTTTGTTGGCGGTGACTCGGGGTCTCATTGGGACGGGGAGGAAAGGGACGGCTCCACCCCCATCCCTTGAGGTTCCATGTGTCTCGTCACTGCAGGCACAAACCTGATGCATTTCTGCCAAAAGCCATTGGGTTTCGAGATTTGTTTCTGAGTCTCTGGGATCATGGCCGTTAAGCAGTTCCATCAGGAACCAGAGAAGCCATGCTTTCAATTATATAGCTGAGCCAGAGGTGGTTTGTGGGTGTGTCTCCCACATACCTAATTTTTGGCCATTTACTTTCTTGGTAAACTTTGCCTCAAGTTTTTGGGGTCTGGCCAAAGGCACAGTAGCAATTTTGGGGTATCTGGAACTTTGAAGGCACCATGAGGCTGCTGATGGACTCGCCTCACAGGTACAGATTGACCTGCTGGCAGCACCATATCCCCATTCAGGATTTTGAAGAAGTCTGACCATCTCGTAGGTGGGTGGCAACACATCCTTTTGATGTCTCATGGAATCCAATCAGTAACAGCTCCAATCCAGCGGTCATCTCTAAATTGCATTACGTGTCTGGCCCTTCTGATTTTTGACGCTTTCACAAACAAGAGCGCATCCCTGATTCTTGATCATCATTATCCGGAGGTCAGAACTCCGGATTACTTCTCTCACTTGAGTGAAATGTGATATTATAAGCATAGCTCTTTTGATTCCTCTTTGGGATACCCGAAAAATGTTCTCATCCTGTTTTCGTAGGGCCCAGGTCTCTGAGGTGTATGTCAGTGCAGGAAGAATGGTGAAGTCGAAAAGATGTGCCCAGAGCCGGAGGTTCTTCGTCCTCTTTACAACTTCTACACTCTTGAAGGCGTTCCATGCCACTCTCTTCCTCCCGCACAGTTCTGGCACCAAGTCGTTCCTCATGTTGAGTTCTTGACCCAGGTACACATCTGCATTCGGAGATGTTTGTTCCGTTGAGAGCAAATGGAATGTCAGGGACTAGTTTATTTTTCATGAACATTGTCTTGGTGAGATTCAGCTGCAGTCTGACCTTTCCACACTCACGGTCGAAGTCGGTCAGCATTTATGTCAATGGGACTCAGAAACAGTTTTGGCATGCTAAAAAAAAACCTTCTTAGATCCCAATTCATAGGATCCTATTAGTCTACATAGTCTAGAGGCTATTTACTTGCTGATTTGGAAGAGTTGTCCAAGAAAGATAACCCTTTAAGGTCCAGTAGGAAGGACTTTAGCATGAACCTCAAACTACTGACACTACTGCAAAAGTAGAATGCAGAAAGTCTTGGACACCCATCTCCCAGCTAAGGAAGTCTCTACTTGATCACTGGCCCTGCACAAATATTAGAGATAGCAGATATCCACTTAGATTGTTTCCTCCCAAGTCACCAACTCAAGACTTCATGTTTTAACAGAACATGAAATCCTCTTTCCTTTCTCTGACATTGGCCTAAAAAGATAACACCCTCCTCTGTATGTTCCAGCAAAGTGGTAACTTTTCTGATTGCTAATTTTTTTATCATACAAGAAAGTTCTAAGACTGCCCTGTGACTAATTTGTGACTAAATTCTTTTTTTACTAAATTTTTTCTTTTGTTTTTGGACTACACCCAGCAATTTTCAGGGGTTACCCCTGGCTCTGTACTCAGGGATCACTCTTGGTAGACTTGCAAGTCAAGGCCCCTACCCACTGTACTGTCATTTCAGCCCCAATTTCTTCTCTTTCTAAAGTCACTACAATTGACTTCCCCATAGAATTATTTCATTGTATTAAACTTCTAGGCTAAAACTATGATACTATAAACTATGATCCTTAAAATCTCTGGCCAAACCCAGCTGTGTGGGACTTTATGACTGGGAGCTCTGGATTCAATGAGACCAAGAACAGGGATCCTTCACTTGTATCCCACTGTCTTCAGCAACTCAGCAATCACACCCATAAGCCACCTCTGGCTGGTGCCAGATAAACTCATCATCGACCACCATCCAGAGTTTCATGTCCTTTTCTCCCGGAAGGGAGCATAACATGACATTCACCATGACCATGCCGCCGAACCCCGTATCAGGCTGTTTCACTCAGGGCACCCCAGAGGAGGGCGGGTGAGAGCCCTCCCCACCCCAAGGGACCCAACCCTAGCAGCCAAAAACCTCCAGAACTCAACCTCTGCAATGCTCACAGCCACTTTCCAAATACTCAGGCCAAGCCTGACCCATGAATGAAACCTATTCCTGGACCGCGCAGCCAACACTTCATATGACACACTCTACCCATACTCCAACAGTACTATACCACATTGATTGGGCTTAAAGTAGGAGGTAACCAATCTTAGAGGGAAATATTTTTTTATTACAGATATATATGTATATCTATATATATATGTACACACACACATATATATAAGCATACAAGTCTCAACTTTTAACAACATGTTAGTGATCTCTATAGAAGGGCATATTGGTCCCTGGGTGAAATACAACAATCTTTTTTGGAGCATTTTCAGCACTTTTTCATGACAAACACAACATTTGGCTTAAATATGTGACTTCATCAGTAGGATTTTTCTCTGACTTATTTTATTTGTTTGTATTTTACTTGGGGACCATAGCTCTGAAATCCTCTCCAAACATTGGTAATAATCTTGATAATAGTTACAAAAGGGGCAATTGTTTAAAAGGAGACAGTAGACCCAAAACAGAGTCAGTTGTGCTAAACACCATCTCATAAAAACAATTTTCTCAATTTAATTGCAGTTCCAGTTCCTTCCAAGAGTGGTATTTTAAATCAATCAAAGTGTTGATCAGTTTGCTCTTGTTCTTTTGGTTTGCACTAGGATGTGAAAGGAAAAGAATCCCAGCGCTTTCTGTCTGTCTCTGTGGTATCCAGGTTGAATTTTTAAAAATTTTTTAAATCAAACTAAAATTTTCTCATCAACACAATTTGGGTAACCTTCCTGATAAGACCCCCTTGCTTTTTTCTTAAGTAAAAGTAACATTTCCACAACAATGGGTTATTTTGCTAATGTCTCACCTATCCCCCCCCCCCGCCCCCCTCTGTATGCCTGTAAAGACCTTCTACTTTTATATGACTTCTTAGGGTAACTTTTTATATGACATATTGTTCATGCAGTGCTACTGCTGCCTATTTAAGAAAAAACTAACTGGAAATCTGCCCACCAGGAGGCAAACTCAATGCCTGGGACTCTGAATTCAATGTGGCAATCTGTCTTCAACATTCTGTGACACGCTTTCAGGGAATGTAGCATTTCATTTCTTCCCAGGTCACTTTAGGAATTTACCTTCCTATTTCTCTTTCACCAAGACAAGTCCAGTCCTGAGATCTCCAGGTGGGTTCATGACAAGTGGTTGATTGAGCAGAGTCTAGTGCTCCTGGGGTCAAACAAACAAACCACTGATCCCTCCACCACCCCCACAGCAAATGCCATTATTTAATGTCCCTGCTCTCCGTGGGAAGAGAAGAGCAAAATCCACCTGGTTTATCAGCTGTCCCAAAGTAAACCTTTGCTTTATACAGTTTTGTAGGCTGTCACTGTTGACTTCTACTATAAAAGTATCTTTCCCTTTTAGTAGCTCCTAATGTTCCCACAGACCTTTCACAAAAAGACGAACAACTTTTCTGTATGTGTAATTTAACAAGACTTAATAGTGCTACATGTAGCACCTGCCTAAAAACAGGTTAACTAGCCTGTACGTAAAAATCACTAACGGGGCCAGAGCAATAGCACAGAGGGTATGGCCTCTGCCTTGCATGTGGCTGACCAAGGTTTGATCCCTGGCATCCCATATGATCCCCCAGCACTGCCAGGAGTAATTCCTGAGTGAAGAGCCAGGAGTATCCCCAGAGAATCGCTTGGTGTGACCCAAAAAGAAAAAAAAAGCACTAACCCAGAGATATGACTACACAAAAGTGTGTGTATTATGAGTTTGATATTACCAATATGAGGGTTCCAGAACTGTATTAATGATCAAGGGAATCCATTAATATTCCAAATATGTGTCCTCTAAGAAAATACAAACAGCTGAAAGAAAAGAGGGATTTTGTTGGTAAGAAAACAACTTACGGTGGAATGTATGTTCACCAGCAGATGCTGGAGAAGTGTCAAAGAGAAGTAAGGGTCTGCTTTATGCACTTCAGAGACAGTTGGCATAACAGTTTACACATACTCTAGTAGTTTTTCAGAAAATTCAAATATGGTGGTGCCTTAATGCCTCTTTTGCAAACCACAGCACCCAAAAGGAGAGAGAGAACAAAAGAGAATGCCCTACCACAGAGGCAGGGTGGGATGGGGGGGTTGGGGGGTGGGAGGGATACTGGGATCAGTGGTGGTGGAGAATGGGCACTGGTGGAGGGATGGGTACTCAATCATTGTATAACTGAAACCCCAGCACAAAAAGTCTACAACTGTACCTCATGGTGTTTCACTAATAAATTTTTTTTAAAAAAAACCACAAATATGGTGGCGAGGGAGAATGAAAACAATACATAATTGAGGAACATGAAAAGAACATACCAGATGTACAGAAAATGGTGGCAAAACATCACTGGAACTGTGTATGGTAGTATGAAGAGGGTTTTAGTCTTTAGTATGAAGAGCAAGAAGGCTAGAGGTTAAAATGGATTCTACTGTGCAGTCTCCACTGGCACGGGTACTGCCTGCCCAGCCAGGGACTTGGAGTCCATATTAGCACAAAAGTTTTCTTAAAGGTCAACTTTGACACAATCAGAGCCAAAGGAGAGCAAGGAGCAGTTTTTCTCACAGAGAGATTGTCACACCATCCAAATTATTAATCTCAGACTAGTCGGTGCTTCAGCTTTTCCTAACTCCAATGTGCATTTCTCCATTTCAAGGAAGAAAGAGATGAAATGAAGTTGCAAAAAGTTTTGACATGTTATAATATGATCACTAATTATCTGCTCTGGTGATTTTTTTGGGTTTGTTTCTATGTTTTTAGGACACATCTGGTAGTACTCAGGACTTACTCCTGGCTCTCTGTTCAGAGACCACAGAGGTGGTGGTGCTCAGGGGAATGAATGTGGTACCACAAATTAAACCCACATCAGCCATATGAAAGAAAAGAACCTTAACGCCTGGGCTCTCTCTCTCTCTAGCCCAGGTAAAGCAAAATTACATCTTTAAAGCTGAATGGTCTTGCGGGGGGGCGGGGGGGAGGAAGGGCACAGGTAAAGGGATATACCTGATATACCTAATAACCTTTCACGATCTGCATTACAAACCATAAGGCCCAAAAGGAGAGAGAGAGAGAGAGAGAGAGAGAGAGAGAGAGAGAGAGAGAGAAGAAAAGTGCCTGCCACAGAGGACATGTGGGACAGGGTGGGGGGTGGTTGGGAGACTGGGACCACTGGTGGTGGGAAAAGTACACTGGTGAAAGGATGGGTGTTGGAACATTATATGACTCAAATCCAAACATGAACAACTTTGTAAATGTGTGTATTACACTGATTCAATTTTAAAAAACTGTATGGCTTTTGTTATTTCACAGATTTGGTGACAGGCATGAGATGTGAGATGAACTTCAGACAGCTTTCAGATATAACAATGAGAAGCACAGGCATGGTACCTAAGTGAATGCCACCTTTGACATTCACTGTTTTCCTCCCCATTTCTGAAGACAAGGGGTGGGTTTCTCCAGAGTAGGAGTAGGAGTCCCATTTTCATTGCCTTATCGGTTCAAGGTAAGTGGGTCATCTTGAGCTGGCTGACAGTTCTCCCAAGAACAAGTCCCAGTCTCTAGCAAGGCCCACAATTCCCCGCTTGCCTAGAATCAGCTCCCAATGACCATTGCTGAGTCTGCTGGCTTCCTCGCCCATCGTTCCTGGACTTGCAGATGGCTCGTACAGATCTTCCTTTGGAGTCCACAGTAATCATAGTAATATCTTTTAGTTTTTGCTGGTGTCTTAAGGTGCACTTGTTTGTTGTGTGAGTGTGAGTGTGTGTATATGCATGCTTGTGTGTGTGTGTGTGTGCGTGTAAATAGGCCTAAAGATCTAGGTGGGACTGGAGAGATAGTACAATGGGTAGAGCCCTTGCCTTACACGCGGCCAACCCAGGTTCAATTCCCAGCATCCCACATGGTCCTCTACACACTGTCCAGGGTAACCCCTGAGCATTTCTGGGTGTGACCCCAAAACAAAAACAAAACAAGAAATGAGATCTACAAGCCGCTGCAATAGTACAGTGGATAGGGTATTTGCCTTGTACAAGTCTGGCCTAGGTTTGATCCCTGGCACCTCATATGGTCCCCTAAGCACTGCTGGTAGTAATTACTAAGCACAAAGCCAGGAGTAGCCCCTGAGCACCACCAGGTATGGCCTGTAAAAAACAAAAATATAACCAAAAGAATGAGATCTTAACATTCCAGTATCAACCTTATATCAAACATGTTTTTGTGTCTGAAAACTCTTAAGTTCTAAAAGCTATAAATACCTTCAAAATGGGGGACAGGTGGGGAAGATGAACATTTTTTTCATGAAACTTCATTAACAGTACTCTAAATCACAGTGCTTTAATTTTTTTTAAAGGTTGGGAAAAATTCAAATATTTGGAAACTAAGCAGCATACTATTGAACAATCATTGGATCAAAGGCAACATCAAAGAGATAAAAGAATTCCTCGAAATAAACAAGATTGAAGCTATCATCAAAACCCACCAGGACACAGCAAAATCTGTCCTAAGAAGAGTGCTCATAGAAATACAGACATATCAAAAACAAGGAAAAACTTAAATTCACAGTTCCAGAAATTAGAACAAAGGTTAGTGGAACCAATAGTAAATAGAATAAAGGAAATGATAAAATTTAGGGTAAAAATAAAATTATATAGAAATCAAGAAAAAATATAAAAGTTCAGTGAAGCCAACAGCTGGTTTTTTAAAAAATAAAATTACGAGATTGGCAAACTCTTAGCCAGACTCAAAGAAAAAAAGAGAAAATAAAGTAAAAAATGAAATTAAAGAAGTTTTAACAGATACCTCATATATAAAAGATCATAGAGTACTATGAGCAACTTTATGCAACTAATTTGGAGAATTCAGAAGATATGAATGAATGCTCAGAATCTTATAACTTCCAAAACTGAGTCAGGAGGAAATAAAAAGTGGGAATGGACTTATTACCAGTAGGGAAACTGAAACAGGAATACAAAATTTCCCTCAGGCCTCCTGATGCTTACCACAGGCTGTGTTCTTGATACCCGTGTATAGAAAGAGAAGGTACACTAAACCCACCCCATTCATACCTCAGCTCAGGCCTGATTGTGATTGGGAGGCATGGAAAACAAAAGCCCAGGTCTTGACAAATTTACTAAAGAATTCTACTGAATCTTCAAAGAGAACCTATTGGGATAGAAGATGTAATTAAGTGGAAAAGCACTTGCCTTGCACGTGTGAGGCCCTGGCACAGAAAAAATTAAAATGTTAACAAAGAAGACCTATTAACCCATCTTTCTCAAATTCTTAAAACAAACAAATGAATAAATAAACAGTAATTCTTTCTAACATCTTATGTAAAACCAACATTACCCAATACCAAAACCAGAGATATTACTCAAAAGATTACAGGGCCAGAGCGATAATACAGTGGGTAGGGAGTCGACCCCGGTTCCATCCCCAGCATCCCATATGGTCCCCCAAGCACGGCCAGGAGTAATTCCTGAGTGCAGGAATAACACCTGAGCATCGCTGGTTGTGTCAGAAAAAGGAGAAGGAGAAGGAGAAGGAGGAGGAGGAGGAGGAGGAGGAGGAGGAGGAGGAGGAGGAGGAGGAGAAGATTACAGACTAATATTCCTGATGAACAAGATGCAAAGATCCTCAACAAAATCTTAGTGAACTGAATTTTAAAAATAGAATAAAAAGAGTCATACATGAAGT